TTTTTTTTTTTTTTTTTTTTTTTTTTTTTTTTTTTTTTTTTTATATGGCTGCTAGCTTCCTCTCTATAATTAATTTTGTTTTATTAAGCAGTGTGTTGCCTTAGCGGCGAAGCAGCAGCAGCAACAGCAGCAGCAGCAACAGCGACAGCTGCTGCTGCTGCTGCTGCAGCAACGACTGCAGCAGGTGCTGCTCACCAGCAACTGCAGCAGCTGCTGCTGCAGCAGAAGCAGCAGCAGCACAACCACCACCAAAAGCAGCCGCTGCAACAACTAAACCCCGCGAACGCACACCCGCAGCAGCAGCAGCAACAGCAGCAGCAGCAACAGCAGCAACAGCAGCAGCAGCAGCAGCAACAGCAGCAGCNCAGCAGCAGATGTGTGTTTAAGATGGGTTTGTGGGTTCGGGTGTATAGGCAGCTGCGGGGAGCGATAGGTTGTATCTGTCGTCGTTTGCTGCAGCGCGCAGCAGCAGCAGCAGCAGCAGCAGCAGCATGCGTATTGTTCTGCTGCTGCTGTGTGTATATACACCTCAGGGATGTAATTAAGACGCTGCCAGCACCTGAAGGTGATCAGCAGCAGCAGCAGCAGCAGCAGCAGCAACTGCAGCAACTGCAGCAGCTGCTGCAGCAGCTGCTGCTGCAGCGGGATGTAGGGTCTGTGCTGCTTGGTTTGCTGCAGCAGCTGCAGCAGCTGCAGCAGCTGCTGCTGCTGCTGCTGGGTGTTATAGGGGCGTTGCTGGTTGACGTCTGCTGCTTGCTGCTGCTGCTGTTTCACTTGCTGCTGCCTTTTGTATCTCCTGCTGCAGCATGGTGTGTTGGGGTGTATAGGCAGCTGCAGCCGCAGCAGCAGCTGCTGCTGCTGCTGCTGCTAGCAGCAGCACCTGTGTTGTATTGTTTTAGTATAAGCAGCAGATTAAAAAGAATGAGAGTAGCAGCAGCAGCAGCATATAATTCCTTTACTTGTATTGTTGCTGCTGCTGCTCCTGCTGCTCTCGCGCTGCTGCTGCACTGCTGCTGCTGTCTGCTGCTGAGCTGCAGCAGACTGCTGCAGCTTGCTGCTGCTCTGTGGCTGCCGGTTCCTTTCTTTGGTTCTCTTTTCTTTGCTGCAGCAAACGTAAACATATGCGGCCCGCTGCTTCCTCCTGCTGCTGCTGCTGCTGCTGCTCCTGCTGCTGCTGCTGCTGCTGCTGATGCTGCTGCTGATGCTGCTGCTGCTGCTGCTGCTTCTGCTGATTCGAATGATGACGCCCAAGACGGTGCAGCAGCAGCAGCAAGAGGAGAAGTAGCAGCAGCAGAAACAGCAGCAGCAGCAGCAGCAGCAGAAGCAG